ATAGTAATTGTTATAACCAAAATTATTAATGAAAGGAACAATAAATATACAAAACAGCATACCTTACCTAGGGAACCATCTTGAACTGTTGTCGTTGATGTACATTTCTTCGGAAACTTGCTCTCTTTCTAACACTGCACTTTATAAAACATTTTCAATACTTTACCTCCACTCTATAATGTCCTAACTGTAAAAATTAATGCCATATGTTTTAGTTAAAAGCATATCTGGTTGGATGCATCAACATTCCCATGGCACAAACAAAAACCAATGTTTATGAAGATATAAAACAATAAATAAAGACTATTATAATATAACAGTGTTAAATGTAATAAGACAAAATAACTAGCTAAACTTAGTATCTAGCAATTTGTCTAAAACGTTTTTACTACAAGTCTTAATATATTCTCCTTTGCTCATGCTCATGAGTTCTTAGAATTATTTAACTATCCCCTGTACCAAGCATATAGAGGTGGTTGGTGGAAATAATAAATAACATCCAGTCTTCTATAGATGGTGAAAAGGAAACACAATAAGCTGCTAGAAACATGAAAGTTCTGTGAAATAATACATTATATATGCAAATACATGAGGCACAACATGACAAAAAAAGTAAACATAAAACTTATATAAATAAACTAATGATGTACAGTCACACTAATTACAATTAATAACTAAAACTAACACTTGTTAAAACCAATAGTGGTTAATATACTAAAGCTGTTTACTTTTACCCCAAACAATATTCCAAGGAATCAAACTGTAGATGTGAAAGTTTCTAAATCCATAGTCTTTAGAAAGAATATTGTTGAATTTTCCACAGTATTGAATTAATTTTGTGTTTAATTTTCACAATGAGAAACCTTAATTATGAAAAATGTGAGTGAGTTTATGAGTTCTTTCCACTAAACCTTGTAATGATGAACAAATTATTTTGTATATGATAAGCTGACCTGAGAGTAGTAAACATTGTAACATAATATGTTTGGAATATGTGTAGTTGGAAATGGAAAATTTATCACTTTAAAGTTGAATGTGTAATTAATGATGGTGATATCCAAATCTGGATAGTTTGCTTTGTTTGTAGTGGAAGAGCTTTTTTCTAGAGTGAGCTCTGGCAGATAACTTTGTAAGGCTGTGTCCAGAAAACCTTGATAATTGAGTATTGTTGTGTTAAACTTTACTATAATCTATTCTAGCAAGGTTTGTAATGTTTGATAATTCTAGTCCAAATAAAAACAGATCTGCATCCTACATGTTAAAGTTACCTTCCATTGTAATTTCCCTATATCTGTTTGAAGATATGTTAGCCAAATTGTACAGATGTATTATCTAGTAAAAATATTCACAGTCTGCATGAATTCATTTATTATGTAATGGTGGTAATTTTTGTGAGTGATATTGTAATAGAAAGTTTTGTGTTTATTGATGCAGAGATTTTACTGCACAAAAAACAACAACAAAAAAGTATTTCATCAAGATAGGAAGACGAGTGTTAAGATTACCAAAATCAAGTATTTCTACTGTTATAGCTTCAAAGCCTTTAATTCTGTGTTTATGTTCAATGGAATTACTGATGATTATACCTTTTCTTTCTTTGATAACATTACAGCATTTCTTTAAATGCTCTTTTAATGTATTTCATACCATTACTTGTCATAATTAACAATTCTTTGATCAGCATGTTTAGTGCCAGAAATAAACCTGTATTTGTATGGTGTTTTATATAATTTGGGAATCCAAAATAATTTAGATATAACATTAATGATATTTTATATATCAGTTTTAATGTGTTTATCAACTTCGTTAGCTGAAGGTTTTAATATATTCAAATTAAACCCTAGGTCTTTACATAAAGTTATTAGCTGCTTTATCTATGGGAATGATGATATATCTACTATGTAAATAATCAGTGATCAGTAAATCTTCTTTATTTGTGTCATCTTTTTTGTTGTTAAGTATGTTATTAATTTGTGGATTATATTTTTAACTTATCTAGTTTCTGAATAGGACTACTTTTAAGTGACATTCAACAATTAACTACCAGATCAGTCACAATATTCTTTCCTAAAGAAGTTTCAATTCTGAACCCTCACAAGGTTGAATATTTTAATTGGGTGCTATTTTTTTGTAAACTTTAAGAGATTTTGTCATTCAACAGAGATTTGATCTCTTGTCCAAGGTTATGGAAAACAAATGTTTTAAACAACTAAGCTATTAAGGCAGTTTTAACAATCAAGCTTTTTAGTTACTCCAATTCAAGAAAAGTACTGTTGTATCTTGCTACATCTTGGGCACCAACAGCCGACTGTAATAAATCAAGATTTATAGATATAGCTAGCTCGGTGAGTTATATTTTATCTACATATAATTTATGAAACAATAAAGACAAATACACTAGTTCCCAAATAACAAACATTTATTTATATACAGATAGATAGCAAAACGTGGAACTTTAGTTACAGAATGAAAGAAGTACAATGACACAATTTTAATATGGAAAATTAAAATTGTTATGATTTGGCTTTCATGTCTTCTTTTAATTTTCATGTAATTTAATTAGGTAATTAAATCTAAATGATACATGCAAATGCTTATTGCATTTAAATTAACCATTACAAATTTATTGAAGTATTTATTCTTGCGAAATCATTACCAAATTATGTAAAACTAAGGTTGAATGTCAAATTCGATGACGAGGAACCCACTTTGAGACCTGATGATGACAAAACCTTGTCGAAACGTTGTACATTTGCTGTCATGTTAAACTTG